ATTATGTGATAATTCCCAAATATTAGTGTCACCTCCAACAGCGACAAGCACTTGGATGAGCGTCCTCATTTCACCCTTGTGAAAGAGAGCTTGATCTCAATGGGTTAATTACCTGGTTAAAAGGCCTGCATGGCATGACATTTAAAATTTGTGATTTATTCCAATAAATTCAGACTTTCGCGATGTTTATTAATTTAGTTCGTTAACTTATACCAACATCTATGACCTCGTCAATAAATAAGAGGTAGCATTTATTGCAGAGTTGCTCTGTTTAATGTATTACATGCTCTTTGTATCCATGTCACAGCAAGGTCGACCCCTCCAAAGCTGCGGCTCTGTGAGCTTCAGCCTCATAGGGGAGAAGCATTAGGGGACTGTGCTGGTGTGCATGCATGATGAGGGGGGAAAACAACTGGAAGAAAAGGAGCAGTAAATCCAGCCTGTCTGCAAAAGTGACGCCTGAGAAGTGTGCTGAAGAGGAAAGGGTCACCCAAGTTAAGAGTGAGCAATCGTCAGTGATCCATTCAAATGATCACGCTCAGTGGACCTGACAAGCTATGCACGCACTCTGAGCCAGTTCATCACAATCCTCCACGTAAAGCAGAACTGATCGTCCTCTCTCCACAGCTATGTATGTGAAACACAATAACCTAGAATAACCTCAGCAGGCAAAGGAAGGCCTCACAGACAGGCAGCGGTATGAAGAGAAGAGAAAAAAAAAAACAGAGCGTAGAGGGAAGGAGGCACGAGCTTGTCATCCTGTGGGATCCTGAACTTTGATTTTACATTCCACTACGGAAGATTTGTCAATATTGGCATGGCTGCCCTTCAAAACCCTTATCTTCTCATTAAAGAAAAACAACCACATTAAAGTTTAGTTTTGTACTCCTAAAAGCCAGCCATATGAAAAAAAACATTTTACTAGAAAAAAACAATAAATACAAAACTAAGAGTCTGCAGCAAATAGCAGCGGGACAAAATATCAGTAAGGTGATATACCGTCGTCCTGACTCATGTGATACAATTATTGAATCACTGGTAGCTAATCGCATATTGGAATTAACAAAATAGACCATCGTGATGTATATTATGCTTACAGCAGGGGCATCTGCTAGACTGTGCTCATGCTGTTGATGCTGTATGTAATGGCTGGTAAAAAAAACAAGAAGAATAAAAATATCAAGTTATGACTTTCAAGCATTAACATCATCGAGGTTGATTGATGACAGTGTGGGTTGTGCGAGAATAAAACATGCACACTGACATTATAACAGCACATCTACTGAATTTCAGTGTAATTATATCGAGCATAATACTGACTGATGTGCGGGGTAAGTTATGACGTTATCGGTCACTTCAGTAAAATCTTCAAATGTTTCCACAGCTGAACAAAATATTTACAAGCTGGCAGCTCAAAACCAGGATTATTCCGGGATATGAAGCTGGCGTTTTAGGCACAGATCTGTTTGGAGCTAAATGCTAACAGGAGCTTTAGCTAGCAGGCACATGTTTGTTTACAAAGTTCATACTGCTGCTACAATGTGGATCTGTAACCATCACAACTTCCGATCAAGACTTTATATTAAAGAGACCTGATGTCATTGGTATGTGACCCCGTGTGACCCCCCTGTGGCTCTGTATGGATCACATCATCTCACGTGCTCAAGTTTTCTCTGCTCACACACTGCGAGATTTCACTACAACACGGGCCTGCTGGTCGGCCAGCTGCTGACAAATCCACAGTTTGGCTCAGTCCTGGCTGATGCTCTGCCAAGCTGCCGCATATGGGCAGACACACACACACGCACGCACGCACACACAACCACAAAGAAAATCCTGGCTGAAACTTCACTCCTTTTTTTCTGAGTTGACACAGAAACCTCAGTAAAATAAGTTCCATTTCAAGTGATTATTATTTCAGCTTACTCTCATGCAACCACTATCGTACATATGAGGGGGGATGGTTTCTCATGCTTCTTTCTTTTCCATTTTCAGATTAAAAATTGGTCATGAGAGATTAGCATGAAGAAAGAGAGAGGAGAGTGTGTAAAAAAAAAATGTTCACGGGATTTCCTCATTGTATAGAAGGCAAGCAGGAACCATGAAGATCTCTTAACACTGAAGACGTCGAGACCACGATCACTTACACGGTCCACAGAAAATAAATCTGCAATGTTTTTAAGTATATAGGAGCAAGAAACAATTGTAGACCTGGATTCATACTAGTACAAGTATCTGTATGGGCCTCTGAAACTGCCTAAAATATGGAATAGATTATCGGTGAGGATGTCGGTCAATGCAGCAATCAGAGGCAATTATTAATAATCCACTGCCCCCAAAGAATCAACAGGTTTCAGGAGAGTTATGGTGTAGCTATAATAAGTAAGAACAGTGCAGCTCTAGCCTGAAATCAGTGTTTTTCCACCAATGATGTGCATTTTTTATCAAATCCTACTATTACCAGAGGGATACTGTCGGAATTGGAACAAGTAAAGAGGAGGAAAATGGTTGGAACAACATTGCCACATTCATTTTCTCTGATAAAAGAATATGGATTGTGGGAATCTGCTATTTTCTTCTTCTTTTTTTTTTTTTTTTTTTTTTTTTAAAATCGCGTCTTAAATATGGGATGATGGTCAAATTAAACAAGCAGTAGAATGACACTCACTTAATATCTGGGAAAACTGTGTATCATGTCTCTTACCCTGTTTTATAACATTTTAGGAGTCGATTAAATTGATGTGTGTCGCAGCAGTGCTCATCTTGCTCTTTGCCCACGAAATGTAACCTTGTCCCGTCTAGTTCCTGGAAAAAAAGGAACACTTGCCTAAGGGTGTGAGACTGGGCTGCTGAAGTGTTGTGATGAAGTGCTGACTGACCTAACATGACAACTTAGCACTTGCACATCAAGGGGGGGGGGGGGGTTAACGGGAGAAATGCTGAAGTTAAAAACATTAGATGCACAGGGACGAGGGGAAGTTTCTGCAGATAGCGCTCTCACTGAGTGTCTTCATGACATCACCGATTAAACAATTAAGCTGCAGGAAATAAGTACTCTATCATTCCAGCCCATCACTGAGAGGAGATAAAGACTTAATGTAAAGAAGGACAACACAGAACAAACTAACTGCTCTTTTTTCACTTGTGAATTCAGGGCACTGAACTGCAGTGACGCGCTCTTTGACCTCTTCAGTTATGAGTGAAGTCCTGTCCTGAAAGGTAAACGTGCATTTTCACGTTAACATCTCAATCGACCTCCCTGCATAGTGTGTTCATACATTGTTCTTTATTGTATTATTGGTGGGTATAAATTTGTTTTTTAAAGTCTATTTTTCTAGTGTAAAAGTATATCAATACTGTGTTCACTCTAGTCGGTCTACTATGATATGCTTAGATAATCTGTAGCTGCTGGAACACCATCATTTTCCACTTTCAGATCAATAAAGTACATCTCGATCTTTAAAAGCGCCATCAAATAAAATATGAACTTGTTTAGTGCAGTGCAGGGTTTTTTTTTTTTATAGCCTGGGCAGTGGAACAATATGCTGCTCTTACAACTGCACGTAGGGATGTAAAGATTAATCGTAAAATCGCGATAAATCGATTCAAAGGAGTCAAGATTCACATCGATCGGTCCTCTGAAAAATGAATGGCAATAATATTGTGAGTGTCAGCAGCTGTAGAGCAAGAGTTTGAAATTGAGGACGCACCGCGGTCTTTTAAAATCGGAGGTGCGGAAGCATTTTGGCTTCCCCGAGACAGAAAGTGAAAGAGGTGAGAAGATAACAGACAAGATAAGAACTGTGTGCAAATATTACAAGAAGACGGGGAACGACACAAATAGCATGATCAACATGATGCAGCATTTAATCACACCACAACGAGAAGCACCAATCACCTCCCCTTGTTGAGAAAAAAACAAAAAAAAACATTAAAAGGCCAAACCACACTGACAAGCAAGGAATCTTTTTCAGTCATCATTTGTCTACAGTCTCATTTTGTAAAACAAATCGTGAGAGAATCATATCGTGAACCCAGTATCGTGAATCGTATCGTGAGTTGAGTGACTCGTTACATCCCGCACGCGAATTAAGTCTTCACAACTCCAGCTCCTGTTATCTGCCATTAGAAACACGACATAATATTCCCCTACTTGTGCATTTTCTAATACTTCCATAGTTTTTGTCAAGCTGGGATTTTAGCAAACTTCAGCTTTTCATGCTGCTGTAGAAACTGCAGCTCATGATGTGTCGCCGTGACTCAGGGAGCCAAAATGGATCCTGTGCATCCCAAACATCAGATAAGTGACATCAACAATGCGATACAGGAGGAGGAGGATGACTTGCTTCCTGCTTGCTGCAAATTATACCTCACCTGCATTAAGTCAGGTTTGACCAGCTTCAGTAAGACAACAATCCATTAAAGAAAAATATATGACTATGCAAACACGATATACAAGTGACACAGGTGAGGACGTGAGCCTTCCTGCCTCGCCTCCTCTGTATAAACCAATAAAAGATATTAGGGCTTTGAAAATCCTTCCTTGAGGGTGCAGTTTTATGTTGCCAGCAAAAGATAGCATCAGCAGGATTTATTTTTGCAAAGAGTCTGCACCAACTGTGACCTTACTTTAACCTACTTTATGATATTTTTTACTTCCATGACTCCACAATCATAATGTGCTCTTCTATGGCCGTAAACACTATATTACTGTGACCTCATCTGCTTGGTAGAGGCGTGTTTATGTCCTGAGGAGCTGGTCTCCTCTACACTGTAATGTTTACACTGTAGCGCAGGCTGTCACTGATGGGAAAATATAACGACGATGTCAGCTTCTGCACATGTTTTTAAAGCCAATGTTGCCAATGAAATCCCTCCATATAAAAATGAACAAAGGCGGCAGGTGCATTCACGTTTTGTTCATGTGTGAGTGCGAACCATTGGTCCAGGAAGGATGCTACTGTGCAAGAAAAAGATGGACGCGCATACAGGTTACTCACTCTGCGTAGCCGGTGGACCACGGCAGCCGCTTGGTCTCCTTCAGGATGAGGATCGGTCTCGCGATGTGATCCGCCGAGCACTCGACCTCGTCGGGCGACAGTCCCAGGAACTCCGGTCTGCTGTACGGGTACCTCAGCGGCAGATCCGAGCCGCCGGGATGGTCCCCGTTGGATCCACCAGCCATCACACCTCCCATAAAATTGGCCACCGCCGATTTCACCCGCGTGAGCATGGTCCTGCAGCGGCGATGCGATTGTGTGAGTTTCCTCCCGCACGGCGACGCAGCTTCTCGGCGTCAAATGTGCAGACACAGGGCGGCCGTGAAAACTCATTCAGCTCAGCTCTTCTCTCCCTCGGTGAACGCGGAAATAAAAGCAGCACACACACACACACGTACACACACGTACACACACACACACACACACACACACAGAGACAGGCAGTTCTGTACGCTGGTCATGTGACTAACCGGTTGCTGCTGGTGGATTTGGACGCTCTGGCATCTCTGTGAGCAGCTTAGGCTGTTTGACAGTGCTGGAGGTCAAAGGTGCGTAATCCCGTATGGGCGGGTAGGCTACCTCCTTGCAAGGTGCAAGGAAGTAGCCTACGGGGTGACGTCATCAGACGGCTGACTCAATGCTCTGAGAAGTGGGCCCAAAACAAAACATGCGATTTACCATTGGAGATTAAAAAAAAATAATAAAAAAAAAAAAAAATTGCACTTATTTCACATTTAATGATAAAGAAACTGTGTGTAAAGAAACTTTTATTATCAAAATGTCATATTCACAAGGCCAAAGTTCTGAGCTCAACTTCCTCTTTTAAGCTTTTTCTTATTGATTCACAATATTTTAAGTCTCTTGTATTATAATTACGAACACAAAATCTATGTCAATGATTTCAAGTTTCAAGTTTCTTTGTATGTCCTTTTGTAAACTGGCATGTCTGACTGTTTGTCTATAGTCAATAAAGTACTTCAAAAAAGAAAAGTGGGCCCCAAATAGACACAAATTAAACACCATCCATGCCTTACCTGGGAAACACAGACGCACTTAGCAGTCATAAAAACACAGATTGGAATTTCTTGGGGTCCTCAGACAGACCCCAAGGTAACAAATTGTGTTAAACTAATATTGTCACTCCTTTTATCTGCTTTATAAGGCTCAATCTGTATTAAAGTTTTAAACCCTCCCTTTTGCCACAAACAGCTCTTGCTCATTTTATGGAGATCACAGAATGCTAAAATGTACCATAAAAATTGGTATAACACCAAACAAGGGAAATATCTCATATTTGTTTTTAAGTTGTGGGCTGAACAGCAACAAATATGGGACTTTTTTTCAAGACATGTAGAATATGAGTAATTTTCTGTCCTATCAACTGAAATAATACCCCAATAACAGATGTTTACATCAATATATGGGAACTGTAAAGGATAGTATTTAAACTAATGTATGCATACATCTGAGGCTATATATCTTCATTCTATTAGTAATGTTAAACAGAAAGTGGACTCAAGAGACGTTTCCTGGAGCACACAGATTGACTGTATAAAACATGGACATAGGCTCAGTAGTCCCCCACTGGTTGCTGACGGAGAGTTTTGAAGCCAAACGCAGAGTGTCCTTATATCCTTACATAGAAAAAAGGTCACACAACCTCCCTTCCTCTCTCTTTTTCCCTTCCTCCTTCTCACAGGAAGGACAGTGTGAGTGCAGTCAGCTGACTTTGGCATGTTCTCTGTACCTGATAACATCTCTTGTGAATAAGAAGGGTTTAAAACCAACACTGTTATCAGGAAGAACATTAATAAGAAGTTCACATGCAGAGTGCAACCTGCACATATTAGTGTAAATATAAAAAAAATAAAAAACAATAACAGAGACATCCAAAGCTGCACACGAGGCAATAATAAAACCAAATACAAAGTAAAGAAGACACACCCTGATAAAAACAAATGAATGAGTGATACATGTAATGGCAGTAGTTAAAACCAGGAGGAATAATGTAATGTTGAAGTTTGTTTTTTTATATTTATTTTGGTAGCCTCATTCCCTCAAACTGAGTTCTCTTTTAAACTGACTGTCACTGGACTATAACTATAGAATCATATCCGGCTCTGAAATGAATGCAGCACAAAGACACAAATTTCTCCTCGGTGGAAAATGAGGAGTTACATTTACCACAATAGTTCAGTTCAAACCACTTACAGTATATAACTGCAAATGTGATACGTCTGGCAAGTTACCTTGTGCATCACATGTCGATTTCTGTTTGTGTGTGTGTGTCCAGTTTATTCTGAGAGTCAGTTTCAGTATGATTGGCCGGGCGTTCAGCCAGCACATCAGGATGTGTGTCTAGACATCACGAACTACACGGACACACTTGGAGCTGCAGTTTAGAGAAGTACAGCTCACAAAATGATCTGTTATACAATCTCACAGTCTGTGGAGCAGCCAACCCACAGATCACACTCTCAGGATTCTCTCTATTCGAGGACCAGCAGCATTGAAAGGTGATGTTTTTCAGTCATGGCAGCCTAAGAATGCCTTTTCTAAAAAGTCCTTGTAGTGATGGAAAACTGTCATACATGGGCACTTAGTCCAACTGATTAGAATTCATCTTGTCTGACGGTTCCCTGGAAAACTTCACCATCTGGAGAGAGTCCTCTTCTATCAACAACCATGAAGTCAAGTTGTTATAGTCGACTGAGAGTAAGCAGACATCTAATCATCCTTTAAATAGAAAAGCATGACTAGCATTAAAACAAGAATACGTTCTTTAAAACCGCCATACATGGCCGTTTTTCCAGGGGGTTTACTTCTATTAAAAAACTCGTAATTCAATCACTGTGTGATTAAAGATTCCCAGGTTATGTCAGAATCACTTCTTTGTTAAAAGTCTTCAGTCAAGCATGACCAGGTAAACCTGTTAAGTTGTCTCAGGGCAACACTTTTGTCGTTTACCCCATAGACTGTATGCTGCCCTCATCCCACCCAAGCCTGGCTTCATTGCTCAACTAGACACCAATTTACTGTAATCATATTACAAGGTCATTTTTTGTATTAAATCTAAACTTCTGAAATAGACCATAAGCTTTTACTTATTACATGTAATTTTCATCTACAACTCATTTGACCTCTGACATGGCTGCAAATACTGTGTCTGGAGTAAACACAGGTAGAACATGTACCACGGTGTGTACAATGTGATCAGAAATCAAAGGTAGAAAAAAATAGCAATAAACAACAAAGCATAATGTCAACTGAAACAATAAAGGTCTTATAATTAAACTAGGAGACATGGGACCGTTGCAAAATAGGGCCACAAGATCTCTTAAGATAATACCACAAAAAATATGTCTGATATGCTCCATATTAATCACTGAATAGATCCATCCATCCATTATGTATAATGTTTATCCAATTCAAGGAAGCAAGAGGCTGGAGCAGATACAAGCTGTCGTGGGTGAGATGCAAGGGGGGGGGGGGTACACCCTCCAATCAACGGCAGTCACTCACAGGGATGACATCCAGAGACAAACAACAGCTCACACTCGCATCCACATACTGACTATTTTAGAGTCATCAATTAACCTAATGAGCATGTCCTTGGTATGTGGGAGGAAGCCGGAGTATCTGGAGGGAACCAACGCATGCAAGAGGGGAGCATGCAAAACCGCACACAGAAAGTCAAGTGTCTTCTTGTGAGGTTTGAAGTTTATTAAATCTGACAGTAAACACCATGGGATTGATTGAATTTGAGAGTACCTTATCTCTATGCACCAAAGCACAGCTGCATTATCTTCAATAAATCTAAGTTTACATGCACATTAACACTGTGAGCTCCCTCATTATACACAAAGTCTCCAGAGAAAATGAATGAACTCCGATCAAAGTGGAGTTCCTTCATTGGCAGACTATCTCAGATCAATTATTCATGAGTTTGCCAGGAAAGAGCTCCACTGACCTAATTACCAACAGTGAGCCAGTGTGTGAGCGTGTGTGCAGGAGATGATACACCTTAGACTGGATCATCAATTTGTTTTTATTTAAAATGACGCCTGACTAGATTTCAACCCGTTTAAGAGTGAGTGTTAGCAGTCCTTCAACTTGACATTTTGAAGACTCTTCATTACAAGTGTACTATAATAAGTTTGAAGTCAAAGCAACATCGCCACAGGCTAAAGTCTTGAAGTGAGGAACAACACATACTGTCGGCGGGAATGAGCTGAACCCAAGATTTTTTTATTAACACAGCGAAGGCCCACAATAACATTAGCAACATGAAATAACATGTCGATCCTTTTTGTGCACTGTGTGAATCTGTATTTGTCTGTAAGACTGGATCCATTTGATTATCTGCACATTGTGTGTGCAAGTTAAAATAAAGTGTATCGTATCACAAGTTGCTTTGTTGTTATTTGATGCGCTAACAAACAAGTTTCTTATCCTATCTTCATTTCATTTCGTATCGTATCGTATCGTTTCGTCTAAATTTAACTTTAAAAACTTGTTGCTGCTTTTATTGTTGGTTAAAGTAAATGTAGATCAGTCAGTACACAAAGCTCTAGTTGTGGATCTAATTATTTTCCAATGTTATTGTTGCGTCTTAAATGAAGCATGTTGAGCTACGTTTTGATTCTATTTCTCATAATAGATGATACAAATGTTAGTTATTGACAGTAGACTAGTATCTATGATTCTACACAATCTTAATCAGCTTCTATTTTTTTTTTAGTCCTCTCCCCACTCATCATTTCTCTTCCAGCTCTGTCTCTGTATAATCACACTGCTGACAGGGTCATGAGCGTGTGTGTGTGTGCGCGCGTGTGTGTGTGTGTGAATGTAATCAGACTGCTAGTCAAACTGATGAATGACTCACCGATGGACTCAGACAGCTGCCGACACACTGTGGTAGCAGACGATAACGTGGAGGTGGCGAAGCTTAGTGTTAGTACGGATGATCTGTTTGTCTGTGTGAGATAGTTTAAAACATCTTCATGTCAGCACAGGTTCTAGAAATGCAGTATTTCAAAAACACTTTTCAGGAGTGTGCAGTATTGCTCCACTCATCTGATAAAGGCCTATATCTCATAATGCTGTAGGCCAACATAAGAAAGAGAGACTATGTCATTTTTATCTTACATGAAAAAAAGGAACAATATGAAACAAATAGTATGGGGACAGAAAAGCCAACTTCAAACAAAGAGCTGCATCATGTGGCTTATGTAACAGGATGGCCATACATAGAGCCTACAATACTGCATCTGCAACAGCTACTCCATCTTTAGGTAGAGAAACAGTAGGCCTATTCAATAATACGTGACTGTGCACATAACCTTCTTGTTTCACCCTACTGCGCTTGAACATTCATAAGCACTGATTTGCTCTTAATCCTGCCACTTTTACAAAAATAACCTGTAACCTTTAAAAACTGGGGAAAGATTTACAGCCAGTATGAAGTTGATGAAACTACATTTAATATGCAACTAAATTTGAATGCAGGGTAAGCACTTTCTGAATTTATACGGGATAAAAGTAGTTTAATATACAGCCTATAGCAA